TGAGTAGTCGCGCTGATTGCTTTTAGTCAGTGGTGGGATTGGTATTTTGTTTATTGAACACAAATGAGCTCACTCGTACGCCTCAGAATTTATTCAGTTTACTGCATTTTTAAGCAGTAGACTCAGACCAAAGGTTGTAGTATTTCAAAGTCGTTGCTGATACCAAAGAAAATACTTGATACCATTGTCAATACCACATAGGAGTGGGAAAAAAGAATACCATCTTTGATCTGATTGCTCTTAGAGATACTGGAGGTACCAAGGTGAGGTGCTCCAACCAGAACTTGTGCCTTTTTTCAGCTTCATGGACATGAATAATAACTTTTTATGTAATTGAACACAAATTTATAAGTAACGCATTTCAATAGGAAAAATGTTTTGTGTCAGAAGCAGGTTTCCAGAAGCAGCCGAGAGATGATTGCATGGCAACAAGGGGAGAAAAAGTTTTAAACGAAGTGAAAATGCATTGTGTTTTTCTAAATCTAACCAAATCGTTTAACAGCTAAACCGAACTGCACATTTGTTAAAAAAAAAAGTATGACTTGAACTTATGTAACAGGCATGAAAGCCAACAGAGCTTACCAAACCTCCAACCACTAAATGTGGACTTTTTATTTTGCCTTTTAATGAGTACATATGAAACTATACTGATGTTCAGGGGACACAAAATAATTAGGAAATTCATGTTGAGGAACACGAAAACAAAATTCAAACAGCACATTTAAAAAACATAATGATCATGACTAGATTGCGACCTGCCACAGACCATGCCCTGCAGCAGGATATTGTGCCCAGGCCACACTGGCAGAGTGCTGCAGACCTTTCTGGATCAAGAGCAAATCTAGTCCCTATATGCTTCCTATCCAAGATGCTGGGTTGGTGCACTAATAAGAGGCAGACACAACCAATGATCCACAGAATGAATGAAGAGCGACAACAGAGCCACCCAACTTGTACAGTCCATGCATCGAGAAGCGGCCAGACCTCATATTAAACACCATGTATATATTGTATCTACACATATGATAGTTTTGGTCTATATATAATATTGTGTTTCTTTCTTTGTGTTTGGTTTTGCTGAAGTTCCCAACTGTTGTGTTGGGAATTTTGTGGAGGGTATTTTTCTTTGTAGCAGATCTTTGGTCCGTGGATACATAAAGAGCTTCTGTACCGCATTGATTGACTGTGAATAATAATTAGTATATCACTGAGGGTAAATGAGAAATTTGATGATGTCAAAGGGGTCAGAAGTCTTAATTTCCAAAAGACTTCTCACTTCAAATCTCGTAGCATGAAACAAAAAGAAATTGGGGGAAAAATGATTTCAGTCGGTAAAGAGGGTAAACTTCCTCTTTGTTTTCAATGCAATTTAGTTACAATACAGCCCGAGTTAAAGAGAGATGGGCAGAGAAGGTAAATGAATTGACCGTCTAGCACTTGACTAAGTATTGAATATTTATTGCTGATTACCCCAAGACAATCGTGCCTGTTGAACAAGAGTGAGAAATGATTTTCTGTCTTTAAATAGCTGCGATAAAGTGATTTCAAATGAGATTTTATTCAAGCCCAGTGGATCTGAATATTGATGCTGTATTAAAAGGCCAGGGCTACCATGTTGACACGGACCTGTCAGGCATGCTGGTGGATAATTAATGTTGCATAGATTTAGTCAGGTACTCAGAGTAATTGGCTGAGAATAAACTAAGTGCAAGTCGATTTAAGGTGGCTTACAGAAATGTCACAATTCTCAGTGACTAAAGACGCCACTAGCTTCCATATACCACTTTCTGCAGCTCAACAGTTTACAGTGAAAACCAGTTTTACTGGAAATTTAAAGTTCTGCCAATCTTAATTTTCACACAAGTGAAAAAAGCTGTAAGTCATTTCAGATGAAATAAATTAATATTGTAATCTAATTTCGTTAAGAAGCTGTTGAATAGGAAGGTACGCTTATTTTAGGTCCGGACTGAAACATATTTATTTTGCAAGTTAATAAACCAGAAGCAATCTATACAAACACAAAGAAAAGCAACTTTTAACTCTGTAAGTAGTTTTGGCAGATCTTTACACTAGCTGCCCTTCATGACACAACCCCAAAGGGATTTGTGTCTTTTCTCCTTGAATGGGGGACTTTTTGCTTGTTAAGTGAATGTGTAAACTACTACTACTACTATGGAACTACTCATGCAAAAAATAACAGGAGTAGAAAAAGATTGCAAAAGTGTTATGCTATAATTCTGAACAAATGGGAAGAAAAAAAAACACCTTGAAAAATATTAATTTAACAATCCAAGAGGCAAAATATTTTCAACCGAGATAAGAGGATTTTAGTATTCTAATAGCGGGATTGCAAATACTTACAAATGACCAAAGATTTTTGAAATAACCGCTAAAAAAGCAAGAGATTAGCTCTGATATGCAAGTGATGGCCACTGGGATATTATGTCCTCTTGACTTGCAGCAGGCAAACTTATTACTTAGTGTTTCCTCTACCATTGCATCAGACTTAAGGATGTTGCACAGCAGCACTGTTTCTCAAATAGATAACAACTTGTTACCGTGGCCCACCAAACCCATAGAGTCATACACGCCTAGGAGCGTGACCCCCCTGACAACCACCAGTGGTTTACTCGTGGATGTCAACCACCTAATGAATGGAGACTTTAAACCTAATGAATAAACCAGTGCTCGACACTCAACTTTAACTGTATGCTGACCAGTGATGGGAATAACGGCATTACAAGTAATGGCGTTACCTTTTTCAGTAACAAGTAATCTAACCAATTACTATTCCTATCGTTACAACGCCGTTACAGTTATTAACAAGAAAATGTGGTCCGTTACTATTTTTCAACAAACAGAGGGTTGAAGCTGTGTTCAGTTTACCGCATCTTATATCAGTTGCACGGAAGTAGCTGTAAGTAATCTGGGCGCTACAGCTTTAAGCAGCTGCGCGCGCTCCCGCGGACGGTAATCACGATCACTGTCTAGCACAACACCTGGAGCTAAGGGGGCAAAACAGTTGCATGAGTGCTGCTGTTTGACTGAGGAAGAATAAAGTAGTCGGCCAATCACATGACCACTTAAAGACAAAGCAACAAGGTGACATATACCAGTTTTTAAACTGAGTTTTGAGATGTGAGAGATTTGTGACGTTTAGCGTGTTTGGAGTGTGTAGTTAATGTGTAGTGTTGTGGATTTTATGTTTTTTGTCTGATTTTAGATCAGTTGTGTTGATACAGTGTGTCAAAATGAAAACATAACTGTAAATTCAGACACGTGAGGTTGTGCTGAAAAGAATGATACCAAACGAGACAAAGTAAATAGTTTTTAAAGGTAAAATGTGGAGGGGAAAATCAAAAGTAGTGAAAAATGGCCAATTATACCCTGGACCCAGTTTTTTAAAAAAAGTAACACAATAGTTATTTTTCAAGTAATTAATTACTTTTAGAATATTGTAACTCAGTTACTAACTCAGTTACTTTTTTGAAGAAGTAACTAGTAACTATAATTAATTACCTTTTCAAAGTAACTTGCCCAACACTGATGTTGACACTTATTTTGAAAAAGCTATAAGCAAGTTTTTAGCAATTCTGACTGTAAGGCAGAGGTGAGTAATTAATTTTCCCAAGGGGCCTAATTGTAACATCGACTAGCAGTTTATAAATAGAACCAATTAATATTGAGCAGCATTGAATTCAGCTTATTAGTGCAGCCCTCCACAGCAGTGCCAGTTTCTCATGTGGCCCCTTGAGAAAATGATTTGGGAAAATTGGCCACCCCTACTCTAAGGCAAATTTGGGCTTTCATTGCTGGAGTGTTGGCTAAACTTGCCAAAATCAATAACCCTAACCCTAAGTGCAGGGCAGAGCCAGAAATAGCCCGATATTCAGAAGAAGGCTCTTATTATTGATGAGTCAGCCACAGCAGACATTCGGAGAACTGCAGTTCTTAGCACTTGATTGGAGCAAGTGAACTCATTTTTTTTACACTTGTTTTGCCTTGTAAAGACTTAAAAAAAAACCTTTTCCAAATGTCTTGCTTTGCCAGCAGAGAGGTGTTAAATGATTTGTGTTTGGTCTGCTACAAAGGCAGTCATTGAGTGAAGATTGGCAGAAAAGCCCAAGATCTTTTATCTTTGCACCTCAGAAAGATCGATGAAATATTCATTACCGTGTAAAAGCAGACCGATTGATTATACTGGAATAATACACTTTGGTTCAGAAAGGATCCTGTAGGACTGTGTCTATTGAAAATGCGAGCCTGTCAATTCAGTTCAATTGTACATCAGGTCTCTTGAGAGTGTTCAGTTCACAGCTCTCACTGAGGCTTTCATCTGTCAATCACAGCACAAGATTAGAAGTTATCAGAGGTCGCCGTGTCAAAGTTCTGTCGTCATCCACAGCGTGGCGGGAGCTCAAACTTTAGAAATGACACGAGCGGAAAGGCTTTGCTCGGTCGGTGCTGATTTCTCTTGACTCAGAGATGTGCTGAAGATTTGTAAGATAGCTCTTGAATCAGAGATACAATCCTCCCGTTGATTCAGAGGCAGTTTTTCTTCTTTCTCTCCCCTGCACACGGGCTAAATTATGAATGTGCTGTTATTTGTTTACTCCATGTTGGAATGAGAGATGTGCATTATTCATCTGTTCTGACAGGAGAGACATCAGAGTAGGAAGCAGGCTTTAAAACCAAGCACAGACTAACAAGGACAATGCTGGGGATGTAAGCAGTCAGGCACAGGCAAACACAATAATTGACTTTCTCTATAAAAAAAAATGTGTTCAGAAAACTCTCAGCAGAAAGATGGTTCACCTGGGAGAAAGCAGCCTTAATTACTTCCAAGACAAATTGGTGCTTCATTTGTTGATACTGGTTATATGGCTGTGTGCCGGTTTGCTGATCTGTGAGTCTGATTTCCAGTGATTTTCTTGTTTTAAAGACATTACTCATACAGGGCCCTCTGAAGCTAATTAGATTTCTTTGTGTCTTCTTTTTAGTCCTGAGAGATGATTTCCGGCAGGCCCCGAGTGACGTGGTGGTAGCTGCCGGTGAGCCTGCTGTGTTGGAGTGTGTACCTCCACGAGGTCACCCCGAGCCCACCGTGTCCTGGAAACGCAACAACGTCCGAGTCAGCACCAAAGATGAGCGCGTCACTGTAAGTTCAACAATCATTAGAAAAAACATTCATTTTTAGCGAAAAATACAGCGATTTGTAAACCCAATAAACTCTACTGCATTAATCTTTACATCTCTGGATCATCTCCAAAATCTAACCCTCAGAGGTCAAAGTAGTCATAGCTGGTAACCCTAAACCTAACCATATATTTGGGAGAAAGACAAAATTTACTTTCTTTTGTAAATATTTTTTGATCTGTGTAAGTAAGAATGATGATTTTCTTTGTTCTCTGATTGCAAAGACTTTGGGGAGTGACTAAAGAAAACAAAAGTTTAAGCCTGTGTGCCTTGGGTTAGAGTTCTGCCCATCACCAATGATGACTCAGACCTCAAACGGTTAACCAGTTTTAAGTTGGATGCAGTCTCACCTCTGGTAAAAATCTCACTCCAGAATGTTTTCAGTTGTCCTGCTAAACAAACAACCAAAAACATCATACCAACCTCCCTGGCAGAAGAGGTAGAGGAAGATGGATGTCTGGTTTTTGGATTTTGTCATCAGACAGTGATCATGAGGGGCTGCGCGGACATCTCAAAATTATGATGATTCAACATGTGCCCCAGGCGGTGGATTTCAGGTGGCCTTCAAAGCTAATAGATCCAATCTTTCCTGCATGTCCTGAGCCTGTCTCGGGGTCTCCTCCCTTCAGGACACGCTTCAACCACCTCATCTAATCAGATGCCTAAACCACTTTAACTGGCTCCTTTTAGAGGAGTAGCAGCTCTACCCTGAGCCTCTCCCAAATGACAGAGCTCCTGAATATTGGGGTGGAGGGACTGGTATACCCACGAGAAAGAAAGACGTACCTGTGGGCTGTCTTGTGGGCCACCAGCTGAAGGAGGAGACATAGGAGTTTGGTGCTTTGTGGATCAGGTGGCAGCCAGAGGCACAGTGATCTGATCCTTGGTTGGCAAATGTGGCTAAACTAACCTGCTAAACTAAATTCTCTAGAAAGGTACCGAGGCACAAAAATAGCTACAATGTTTTTATTTCCTTACTGTTACTTTCTTACTCATTAGTTTATTATAGACCTACTGTAGTTTCCAATTCCTAACATCCATGATCAATAATTCTGGATATAAATCCAATGAAAACCAACATCGAACTGTACTTAATAATGGCCATAGCCTTTATACATAAAGTGTGATAAATATTATTGGTCTGTGCTTTGAGGCTCAATTGTTGCCAAAAACTATTAAAAATACAATAGAGACCTACATTTGAAATGAACACGAGCCCTGAAGTTTATTTTGAGTTAATCCCACATACTCTCTAGTGATGTGAGTACTTTGCAGTGCTCCAAATGCGTATGAATCCATCTCTGAAAATAGTTCTCAAAGGTACAGTTTCACTTCTGACTGAGTCACACTTAATTAAAATCTGTGTCTTTCATAATTTTACTTAAAAAATTCCCTCAAATGATCTAGGAAAACTCTGTTGTACAGGTGGGAGAGATATCAATTCAGACTGCCAACAGTTTCTGTTGACTATCATCTAATGCGGACACCTTCGTACGCTGTAGAGCGTAAAGTGTCTCTGATTCTGCTGTCGCTTTTCTTCTGTCCTCTCATGTGTAAAAACAACAGCTGGACACAATCTCTGGTTGTTGAAAAGTAGATTTGGAACTGTGAGAAGTCACAGGCGGATGAAAGATATTGTTTACGTCAGTAGCTCAAGCAGGAGCTTTAAACTGAACTTAATTTCAAGTAAATCTGTGCTGAGAACCTCAAGCATGAGAATGTAGGTAGAAAATAAACATCGCAGCAACGTATACACGTACACCTACAGTGACTCATACAGGGTTTTGAATATGAGCGATTAATGATCTTTGCATCAGTGCAAACATAACTAAACATGCCATTGTGTTTTTCAGATGCGTGGTGGCAAACTGATGATCTCGCACACCAGGAAGAGCGATGCAGGCATGTACGTCTGTGTGGGCAGTAACATGGTTGGAGAGAGGGACAGTGATCCTGCAGAGCTGGTGGTGTATGGTGAGGTTCAAACAGTTACGTAGTCAGTCCTTCGAAGAGCATAAAGTGGTCATGTTTAAAGGCATCTGTTGTCTAGCAGAGCGCCCCGTGTTGGTGCGAAGACCTGTCAACCAGGTGGTCATGGAGGAAGAGACTGTTGACTTTCTATGCGAGGTCCACGGGGATCCCGCTCCTACTGTGCGATGGCGGCGAGAAGAAGGAGAGCTTCCCCGCGGGAGGTGAGCTGATGGGCATGACCGCAGACAAATAGAGAGACAGACTGTTGATGCACAGACAGCCTGAGAGCACTCTTGTGTTAACACACGTGCCCCAGAAAACGTAAATATGTGCAGGAGCTGTTTATTAACTCGTGTCTTTCTGTTACATATCACACCCGCGTCACATCACACTTCTGAGGCAGCAGCGCGCCTTCTCCCTCAGACTGATTCCACCTCGCTGCCATAATGAACACATTGGGAAATCATTCCTACCGTTCTCTATAAAACTGTATAACACCGTTCATTCTGTGACAGGTGATCACACCTGTCAGGCATAAGAGCCCAAACAGATTTTTGTATTATGTCTTCATGCAGCTGTTTTCTCAGATTTATAGTGTTCATATTATTTATGAACACCTCTCTCTTACAAGTCATTCCTACTTTTACTCTCTTTAGCAATCTTTGTTTTTTAATCACTCTTTTAGAAATATATATAAATCCCTGCACTATCTCATATTAAAGGTCCTTTATAAGGCGCCTGTGGCATCCACCTGTGTTGTTTATTTGTTGTTTATTGTCGACTGCACTGTATCTATCTATCTATCTATCTATCTATCTATCTATCTATCTATCTATCTATCTAGCCATCCATCTATCCATCCATCCATCCATGAATGAATGACTATCTGGACAATTGCAATTTTTGTAACTATCTCTGCACACCACCACAGTGGCTTTTAAATCAAACTTTCAAGCTGGGATTGAACTGCAGGTTTTCAGCTTTGATTCAACAGGATTGACAAAAGTACTGAATTAAGTGTTTAGGAATTAAAACTTCGCCAATTTTCAGAGGCTGGATCATTTACTGACAAGCATTTCCATGGCCACATGAGGCCGGCTCTGTTGTTATACCATCAAAAATTAAGCAGTTAAAAGTCCTGGCATTGATTCCAAGTAATGATCTTGCATTTGGTATCTTTTCACTGGAACTATCAACATGAGAGCCAAAGAGATGTGTTTCCAAGTGAAGGAAGGCAAAGTTTAAAAAAACAAAATAAATCAGAATAAGAGAGACAGCAAAAAACTTTAGCAGTGGCCAGATCAACATTCTGCTACATTCTTTAAAAAAAAAAAAACTGGCCACCTTAGAAATACTAAATGGACTGAAAGACCACAGATGGAGCTGAGGAATTACTTCCCTGAAAATCCAACTAAATCAAAAGGTAGACTGTCCATGTCAAGTTTGCAATGAGATGCCTTTGTGAATGGAAATACAGAGAACAATAAACCACTGGTTACACTCAACAGGAAGAGCAGCAAGGCCAGATTAGACTCTGAAAAAACTCTGTATCAGACTGACCGGACGAGAAAAGTATGAAGAAGCATACTTTGGCGGTCTGATCCAGCGTACCACATCATCTGTCAAACATGGTGGAGGCAGTGTTAAGGCATAGGCCCGTATACCTGCCAGTGAAAATCACTAATGTTTACTGATGATGTGAGGGCTGATAGAAGTAGCAGGATGAATTCTTACGTGTACAGAGATATACTTTCTGCTCAGATGCAGCCAAATGCTGCAAAACTGGTTGGGTCGCACTTCATAGTACAAATGAATACTAGTCTAAAGCATACTGCAAAAACAGCCCAAGAGGTTCTCAAGCCAAAGAAATGGGATAATGTTCAATGGCTAAGTCAGCCATTTGATCCCAATCCAACACAGCGTGCTTTTCAGTTACTGAAGACAGAAACAAAGGCAGAAAGACCCACAAACAAGCAGCGAGTGTAGGCGGCTGCAGGGAAGGCCTGGCAGAGCATCTTAAGGGAGGAAACACAGCGTTTGGCGGTGACCATGAAATCTAGACTTTAGTTTGCCACATTAATTCTGAGCCTCTGAAAAAAGTGGATTTTGTGTAAAAAAACAGTTTTAATTCTTGATCAGTTTTTGTTAAACGCCTTGAATTAGTGATGAAAGTCTGTACTTTAGTCACATCTTGTTTCAAAATTTCATAAAAAATGAAAAGACTGAAAGAATTTTATGGAGAGAAGTTTCATGCTTTCTTATAGTAATGGCGCTATAATAATCATTTTTAGCCAAAACTGATAAATAATTCTATTATTTTGAAACTTAACAGCTTAATGACTTAAACAGCAGAGATATGAACTTCCCATAAAGAATTTTCATATTTTATGTAGATATAATTTTACTTACTTATTTTCAATTTAGTGAGTTAATGCCGTCCTGCTCCACAATGGCTGCTGCTGTTAGAGTCTTTTACAGATTACAGCTTAATTTGAAGCTTGTGATAGCAGCCGCTAAAGGGATGTGTTACTGGAAATGGGGGAAAGCTAACTGGCTTTGACTATTTTCCAACAGTTTCACAAAACTGTGTCAAACATATGGCCCTTGATTTATTAATTATTATATTCTTATATTGAACATGACCTGCACACACTGGGGATTGTAGCAAAATGTGATAGTCGGTAATATTTCATAAATGAATAAATATTCATATTAAGTATGACAGTTCTTTGGCTGATTTTTCTGTGAATTGGGAAGTCTTACTTTAAACTTGGTGATCCCTACATAAGCCTGGTGTAAGAGTCTTTATAGAAACATTTTAAAATGCTACTCATATATGTCTCATTAAACGTGTCCATATACAGTATTATCCATTAATGGGAGACCAAATGCTTAAATGTATGTCCTGAACAATTTTGGCAAAACCTGCACAAAAAGCAAAGTCACAGTGACTGCGGTGTAAGAGTTTATTTGTCCACTTGGCGACAGGATGATGAAGATTGTTGTTTCATGTTTGCAAAGAGCTTTTCTGTCTTTTATCTTTGACTTTTACCTGTCTTTCATCTTTTTCCATTTCATGTCTTTCTTCGGTTGCTCACTGATCCATGAAATAACTGGAATTTAAGCAGATTTT